TTATTAAATTATTACTTTTTATGCAAATTTATGTTCAATTTAATAAGAAATTTCATTAAAAGCATTAAAAGCAATGTGACGATGAAGCCATTAATAATTTGGATTTCCTTTGTTAAGTTGTTTTTTGTATCTCGTCTTCTTAAAATTGTACAAGAATCTAATATACTGCTCGGTTCAACAGTCTACCGATCATGTAATTTAACAAATTATAATTTGCATTTGCATATTTAGGAGAATTACTGTGAAGCTTGCATACTATTTTGTGTTTTATTTTGTTTTAACTTTTAAATGCCATGTGATTTCAAATACAAAATAGAAAAGTTCTTCAAAAGCTTCGAAAGCTTTTCTTAATTTCATGATAGAGATAGTTGAAAAAGTATAAATATTATTGAGAGGTTTTAAAATTTTACTGCCGTTGAGCAAGATAAATTAATTGCTTCTATAATTATAAATATTTTAATAGTTCGACATTCTTCTATTGTTCTATATTGACAAAATAAAAATATAAATCATCAAAAGATATTATATACTCTTAATAAAATTAATGAGGAAATAAAAATTATATACTTATGTTTATTCATGCTTTGTATTATGCTTTGTATTAACTTATTTTGTATTATTATTATTAATAATAATTTTGCGCGTGTAGTAGAAGATAATTAAATAGCGTCTATGCAATTCATTTTGGAGAAAAATATAATAATAATAATTCAAGATATTTTTAACCTTTTAATATTGTGTTTTGACAAATCGAAAACGAACGATTGAATAGAAGTTTCTTAATGTTTTAATTAATCACGATTTGAGTCGAGCAGCGAAAGAAAAATATTTATTAGCCCAGCATTCAGCGAATCGCGTGAAAAAGATGTTGTAAAAAGAAAAACAAAAAAACAAAAAAAAAAAAAAAAAAAAAAAAACAAAAAAAAAATCGTTTGAAAGTGAAAAAAAGTCTTTTCCGATGTTTGAATTAGTGAATTATTATTATTCGATATTAAGATGTAATTAATGGATATAGAATGGCATGGATATGCAGTGGAGAGTATAAAATATGTCGTCCTTTTTAACCTGTAAATTGGAGATGCAAAGCAGACAGACATTTATCATTTATATTTCTCAGATAGATAGATAGATAGATAGATAGATAGATGCCCTTCCTTATACGGCAAGAATATCGTTTACGGACGATTAGTATCAGCAAAACATCAGAGGTAGGAATGCGCGCCAACTCGGTGCGCATGTACTCTATGTACTTAGTACATTCAATAGTTGCTGAAGATATTTTTTTATTCGATGTAAGCAATTAGAAATGTTAAGAAATTGTCACTGTCTGACAATGCTCCTAATCAAATAAAATATACTTTGTAATATTCAATTTTGATAGTATTGCATATTACAAGAAACAAGTTTTGAATGAAATTAAATCAATTGTATTTTTTTTGTTTTGTTTTGTTTTTTATATAAAATACATTTTTTTTTTTTTTTGTATTTAATAATATGCGAGATTATAAATAAATATGTTAGAGGAATGTTTCTCTATTAAATTTGTAATAAGTATGAAGAAAATGACGAAAAGCGGTAAATATATCATCTTCGAGTCATATTAAACGTAATAATAAATTTAGGAAAGTTTATAGTTTGTTTATAGCTTTCTAGCTTTTGTTTATTTGTGATGTGTGAAAGAATTTCTCTATACCAATAATTCTACCTTTCTATCGGCATGATTTTTTTTTTTTTTTTTTTTTTTTTTTTTTTTTTTTTTAGTTTTTTTATTTTATTTTTTATTATTAGTGTTGCCTTAAGCTTTGTAATGCATTTAATATTCAATACTTTAAATATAAATTCCATATTAAAATCCCGTTCTAATAGATGCAAAGATCATTATTAAATAAAACTTAGATTATAGTTCCATTAAATTATACAAATACTCAACACACTGTAATGAATCGTAAGCGTTCTCTATCGAAATGCAGCTCATAAAAACCATTCGATAAATTAATTTTAAAACAAAATAACCGATATGTAAAAGTTCGTCGCAGTGCCGATTTTGACACAATGAATTTATTTTGTAGATTAAGAGCGTGAAAGAATACGAAACCTATCATTATTTTCATAATGTCACTATTTATTTACATTATATTTTTTATTTTTATAGAAAAATATTATAGCATTAAAGAAGGTGAATATAAATCACAATAAGACAGAAAATCATAATATATATTAGTGCGGTGCGCCAATTTCGTGTATAATAACGCGAAGAAGTATCCTCGAATAAATCTCTACTCTAATTAATTAATTAATTAATTTTTCTCATAAAGTTCAATTATCTTGAATTTCTCAAGTATTCCTCCAATTATAACATTACCTCATTACAATTTTAATTAATGTGCATATCGTTAATGTGCATAACGATAAAGGGTTGTTACATTCTATATCTTCATCGGCATTGGTTGCTTTTGTCACACGTACCAAGGGATTTTCCCTTAACAGGCAAAACAATCTTTACGAATTCCTATGCATACTTAAGAATCTTCGGGAGCACTTCCTCCCTAAGTGCCGAAATGATGGACAACCGAATGTTCGATAAATTTTTCATAATACTCTGCCATGCTTCGGCAAAGCCAATAAGTACCCCAGCCTCTCTCCCATCCCCGATACGCTCGATATTAATTCATTGACTTTCGTCATCCAGTATCTTCCACCTTCCCGTCCCTCCCACCTCCATTAAATTATACCCGAATATCGCAAAAAGTTAAGTCGGGACTGCGGATAGGAAGCATCCCGGTGGTTGCGCGATCGATAGTCTAACCTAAAAGCCCGCAATTCAAGGCGAGTTCGAATTGTCGCGCAGGCGCGTTCGTTGTAAGCTCGCGCGTGCTCGAGACGCGCGGCCGTCACTTGGGATCCGGCGATCATGCGGTGGCAAGGCGAGGCCTAGCGAATGGCTCTACTAGGGACGTGGCGCCCTGGTGTCCGAGCGCCGCGACGAAGACAGCAGAAGCCGACTGTCTCGGGCGCCGCCGCCGCCGCCGCCGCCGCCGCCGCCGCCACCGCCGCCACCGCCGCCGTTTACGCCGTTGCCGCCGCTGTCACCGCCACAGTGATGCGTTCGTTTTCTCCTCCTCCTCCTCCTTCACGGGCTTTCTTTTTTTTTTCCTTCGCTCTCATTGGCGAAAGGAGTTTAGTGGCGGGGGCATAGGTCTCTGGAAATGGTGAGCCATGCTATCGGAATGGGAAGTCTCAAATAATTATCGACGATTATTATTGGTGCTCCTCTCTATGAAATTTCTATACGCGCATGCATGCATATATACATATATCTATATATGAATATGTATGGAGATGGATAAGCTACGACGACGTTTGGGGATATAGAGAAGTAATAATTATTTAACTCGTCAGGAGATAATGAAATAAGTCAGTATTGCAAAATTTTAAACGGCATATTTTTATTGGATGTGTATACATATAAAAATAAAAGAAATACAGGTATATTGTCAATTTTATAATGCGGCTTTCATAAATTACAATTTACGTTTGTTGAGTGAAGCTGAGTTAGAGATAGAGATAGATTGATAGCTATAGAAAGTAAAATTAGAAGAGCGCGAATTACAATAACATTTAAAATATGTTGATGGAAGTGCAGAGTATAATAAACTGACGTTCGTCAATATTATAATAATAATTCTTGCGCTCTATAATTAAACAATCATTAAATTATATAAATTCATATTCATAACGATATACACTAATTACATTATATTTACAAAGATTCATGCACACATTTGAATCTTCCTTTATTACGAAATCCAAAATAGGATATTAATTAATATATAATAGGAAGATACTAATCGCTGTTTCAATGTAGTACGATAAAGTTTTCCTATTTAAATAATAGTTTGTAGTTCGTGTTACATTGACGTTATGCATATATATTAAAGAATGTGTATCCGATCAGAATGACGAGTGGGTGATCGACTATTCATCCTGTAATTCCTATTTCTTCTTATATTCAATGCAAGACTGAATTTACTACTTTTTCTTCCTTTTGCTTTCATTAAAAAGTTAATTGGTACAACATCATACCGTTGATAAATTCATAAAATATCATGGCATCTATCATCGAATGAATCTATATTTGGTCGTTTCGTTTCAATCCTATATTATACTATCACATTTTCATAACATAATCCAGAATTAATGCTTTACTACAAAACTCTATTCCATTAATGTTAATGTCATAACAAGAGATTATTTTCTTTTATTAGTAATACGATATACTAATAAATATACTCACTTATTCTCATACAATGGATTTCAAAGCCAAATTTAATATGAATTCCCGAAATAAACAAAGAATATTTAACAAATTATAATATTTATTTATTTATTTATGCACATGCATATTCCAACGCTGGTTTTACTATTTTCAAAATATTACAGCAAACACAATAGTTAAAATTACATCGCATCGATAACTTCAATTCTGTTGTAACATTATGTAAATAATATATTATACAGTTTGATTACATTGATTAATTCATTATTATACGAATATTCAGATAATATGTTGTATTTATTTATAATGGACTTATTTCATTATTCAATTCTTTCCTTTTTTGTTTTTTTTTTGTTTTTTTTGTTTTTGTTTTTTTTGTTTTGTTTTTTAAAATTACAATATTAGAGGTTTTAATGTCAACCATTTAAAGTATTTAATAGTACTAAGACTGGGGGCATGCTGCTCTCAAAAACTTAGAACGTTTGAGCAATCAATTTTAAACAATGTTTTAAAAGCTTCAACTTACCATATAAAAAAAATACTACAAACTACAATTTAGAATTAATACCCTACAGTTGTACTTTCATATATCGTAAAATGTTACTCAATTAAATGACTCTCCGATCGGTTCTAAAATATTGCAATTTCCAGACTTATATTACTTTCGTTTTCCAGATTCGTTATTACATCGATCACTATTACAAGAAAGATGAATATACATTCTCAATTATATTTTGTCCTATCATATAATTCGTGTTTGTACCTTCGTACATCCTTTTGCTCTTTGAGTCATAAACATTACAATTGTTGTGCTGTCAGTCTTTTATCGTACGAATGTGATACCTCAATGCATTGATGAATTCCACCAATGTCTTCGACATTGATATGTTCACCAATTTCTGTGGCAGCCAGCCTTTCAAATTTGTGTTCAATAACCATACAAATTGAGATTTTTCCGTTGCACCGTTTGCCAAACTTTGAGTTGCGAAGCAGCCAATGCCGTTCTCGCCCCTTCAAAATAAATAATTAAATACTATAAATAGCAACTAGACAACAATTAGACAAAAGTTAATAAATATTATTTACCACAGCAGACATTTTACAGTGATAATTTCATAATTATTAGACTGATAATATCACTCAAATATCCGATCACTAATCGAATTGTCGATGATTTATTAATAAATAAAACAAAATAAATTTAAAAAAAAAAAAAAAAAAAAAAAAAAAAAAAGGAAAAAAATAATATGCATACATTGATATTTTCAATACGAATATATTCGATACTTATGATTCTTAAATTTTCGTAAGTAAAGTATAGATAATAATTGCATTATATATTCGTCCGAATTTATACATTAGAACATTATTAAATAGGTATATTTTCAGATACCTATATCATCGATGCACGCACACATTTACATATTCATCCCTATTAGTATTAACAAGCGACATTTAATTCAACACCTCATGTGGCAACTTTGCATCCGCTAACAATGTATAGGATATTTTTAGACTAAGAAACGAAAAGACATCGTAAAATTTATTAATATTGTAATAAGTTTGCCTATTATTACCTTATGAAATTCTTTCTCGTTGGCAACCAATTGACAGAAACCCAACTACTAACGTAATATGATTCGTATTGGCCTCGATGTCTCAAGACAACGAAATCTCTAGCGCTAATTTTTCCATCTCCCAAAGTCTTAGTTGCTTGGTACACCAAGTCTGTATTTTCATTTATAATCTGAGTATAAATGGAAACCCTATTTATTCGTTCTTTTTTATTTATTTATATTTGCATTAATGTGTATTAAAGAAAAATGTAAACGTACATAAAGTTTTTTCGACTCGGCAACTTGCTTATTCCACGAAGTACTGGATTCGATGTTATCGTATAAATAATTTAGAAGCTTTGCTGCTGGAAAATCAACTATTCCCTTAAAAAAGAAAGATATAAAGAATTATTATAAATTGTATTTGATTATATTATAATTGATATTTTTTAGAAGAAAAAAAAATTCTTTTCTTGTAAAAATAGACAAGAAAATTTCTCCTCTTATATACATCCAATAAGTCAATAATATATTTAACATAATACCGAGATTTTAAATATTTTTTTTTCTAGCTTTGGTAATGTCATATATGAAATAATATCTCCCTCGGATGTAACTGTGTCAGTCTTCCAATTCTCGGATACAATGAGATTATGACATTTGGATAATAAGGATGGAGCCCGTTTATTGAACTCCTCGATCTGCAAATAAAAAATTGTTCTACGACTAACCAATGTTTTTAGCAAGTTTTTTTTGTTTTTTTTTTTTTGTTTTTTTTTTCTTATTTAATACCTTTAACATAATAATAAACGTAGCTTTTATCATTAATTATTAAACTATAACTAAGTTAAGTATACGTTAAATTCTATGGTTAATTTTATTCCATTAATAAGTCCAAATATGGATTCGAGTAGTATTTGTGTATATGTACGATAAATATTCATGATATTATTTGAAAATTCGAAATAAAACGAGATTTAATTAAAAAACTATTTATTTTACTTTAATCGTAGTTTTGTAGAATGAAAATTATTAATTACTTTCACTAGGTTAAGTCTACGAAAATAGAATACTGATAAACTACTCATTGATAATTTATCTTTTTATTTGGTATATAGTATTCTTATCGTAACAGTAACTATTGAATTACCTAACATTTCTTATCGAAGTGATGTTGTTTATTCAACTTTTTAAAATTTATTATATACCATTTTTCTGTATAAGTTGCTTTAATAATAATTAAACGTTGCATTTATATAAAAATAGCGTTTTTTAATGTGTTATATTAGAAATATGTATATTGTATTTATAAAAGAAAATATAGTCAAGTATTTAATAACTCAATATTTTAAATCTTTAACCTTTTCGATCGTTTGTTATCAGAAACAATTTCATAAAATGTATTACACTTACGCGTGAATTAAATTTCATTCTTTATCAATCTACTACAATCTTCTAATTCAACTAAAATGATTATAAATTTTGAAAATATTTTATTTACTCTATTTTAACTTTCTTACTTTCTATGATAATTAACTGTGGATTAACATTATATTTTAGATAAAATTTTTCATTTCAATTAAATTGTTTAATTATATTTTAATTATAAGCATTTTGGTTATTTTTGTTATGAGTTTGTTATAATTTTATATAACAGTATGTATAACTTTTTTTAAATATACATGATAAGATGTAAGAATTTTGTATTCGAGTACTTTAATATTATAATGAATATTGATGTCGAGTTACATTTATATTTAATTTCATGAATCATGTCAAATTTCATTACTTATCAAACGCTAATTAAATAAAAATATCTAGTAAAATTTTTAATGTTCTATTAATAACCGAAAATAAATTAATCAATAACGATCGATACAGGCACTGAGCAAATATCTTATTTTATCTTAGAATATTACATTTTAATATTAGAAGAGCGAAATTCTGAATAATTTTGAACAATATCACTAAATCTCTATTATCATAAAATACTAAAATGATAAAGTCATATATGAAACATTGCATGGTTAAAACCATAGTTTTTATATATAACTGAACAATATGAAAATTCCTATAAAATATATTCTTGGTCATGGGAAGTAGTAAACAAAAATCTGAATCAAAGACTTATGCAATAGTTTTTGAAACCTGTCTTCATTAAAAAGCTAAATATGAAATAATGATACTTATCTATAAAAAGTACTTGGATGTAAAATAATGCTTTACAATTAAATATAAACAACTATTATTTAAGTTTTCTATGTTACTGACAATTTCTGTAAAATATAGTTATTTTTCGTAGTAATGAAAACATAATATGTAAATAATAAGCATATTCAAATAATATATGATTATTACATATCAATGATTTGATTAACAAACAAATAGTAATCAATTATTTCATTCTCAATTGGTGAAAGAATTAAATAAAACAATATTGCTATATAATTTATATGAAAAATTTATAATTACTTTTACTTAGTTTATTAACATTGTAAAGTATATTCTATCTAACAGTCTTTAAAATTATTACCAAAAGATATTTTCTAAAACGATATGAAAACGAAAATTAAATTATTATTTAAATTATTAACTAATTTATATAGTGTCAAATAGATCCTCAGTCTTATTTTATAATTCTATTAATTTATATTTCTAAATTTTTATTAAACTAATTAATGAAATTGATAAGACTAGAAAAACAAACCATTTCTTGCGGTGGTTTCATGGCTAAAGTATATGGTAGAGTAGATGGATTAGAGACTCTTCTTTTTTGATCTACTTCATCTTCATTATCCGAATGATCTGGTGATCCCATTGGTGTATAAAAATGCCCAGCATTGTCGATTGGAGCTGTTGCTATCACATAATTAGGACTAAGAAGCGGAGTTCTTTCTGGATTCATGTGATCTATAAGCATATTAGATAAATTTTAATATTTCATTACTACAATTCTGTATGACTTCTAAATGTTTTCAAAACTAAACTATCATTCAATCAAATTTAAATATTCTTTTACTTATATATATATTATAAATTCTAATAATAGTTTACTTCAATCAGACATAACATAAATATTTAAAGAATTAAACTATTATTTTTGCATTCTTAGTTTTTCAATTTTATAATATATATTAAATAAGACATTAATACCTGTACAATAATCTCTACGATAAGACTGTAAAGAATTTGCTGTTCTATCCAAAAACCAGACTTCACCCCATACCAGCACAAAAGACGTAAGAATGAGAAGTACTTGAAATACTGGTTGGCTAGATTGCGACCACTAATATGTCAAATAAAAATATTATAAATATTTCAAATGAATTACATTTTTAATGTTTTTAATGATTTTACAAGAGGAAGTTGAGTGGATCTTTTACTTGTAATGTAAACATTATTTGAAGTATCGTTGTTGCTAAGGATATAATGAAGAATAATTTTGTTTGTATTTTTATATTTTTGCTTCTAGCAACTCGATATCCATTAACTAATTTATCATTCGACATTATGACATAATTTATAGACAATTTGTAATTTATTATCCGAATGTTGCCTATTATATTCAAGTTATCAATTAATGTAATTTTAGTTTAAAATGAATTATTACTATATTTAATTTTTAGAAGAAATAATCGACGCGAAACTATCACTTCATAGCTGCACGAAACTCTCCACACACAATCTGTCAATTCTTTTATTCATTCTAAATTTTATTTAAATATATGATCAATTAACCACCGACTTCAATATTTCAAACTATAATACTTTCAAATTATGATACAACAAAGTCATATATATGACTTTGTTGTATTCAAATTATGTCTTCACATTATCTTATAAAACGGAAATATATTTAGTTGCAAGTGTCAGAAAAAATAAAATAGTTATCGAGAAAAAAATATAGAGTATAATTAATTAATAAAATGTGTGCATCGAATATAATGCTAATTTTATGAATGCATAATTAATATGGAATTTTTCCATTATTAATAATGTAACATAATGTATAAAAGTCTTAATTTCTAAATTCATAGTAGAACTATCATTGTAAATATACTTACATCGTAAAGAAAAACTTTTGATAACAAAAAGGCACACGTTGATGACGTAGATAACTAAAAATAATATATAGAATATAGTATTTGTGTAATAATTTCGAATAATATTTAGCAATAGTCATTTGCATACATACCGCTACAATGCACCAATGATCCATATAGCAAATAGTGTAGAATAATAAAAGAATTATGAATCTAAGAACTGCAGCTACCTGAATCAATAAAAAGAAAAAAAAAATACGAATTAATATAGGTAAAAAGTGTTTGAAAGAATTATATTAGAAGATTTAAAAAGATTTTACCTAAATTAGATATTTATATTAAAATATTTATAAACAAAATTATTAAATATTTTTTTAATAAAATATTTAAAGATAAGATTAGTAAAAAATCAATGTTTTTTTTATGGAAAATGTATCTTATTTATAATACTGATAAATAATAAATTTAAAATATGATCAAATTTGTTATAAAATATAAAATTAACAAATTATTGTGTATATGTAATTATATGTATGTAATTCATATGTAATGTGATCTATATTTTACTGAAACTATTTACTCAACATTATTGTGTATATGTAATTATATGTATGTAATTCATATGTAATATATATGTGATTCATCATTATATTTTCTACTACACTTACAACAATATCAAATAGTGACGTTTTTATATGATAATGTATAATTTGTTGTACAAAGGCAGCTTGAACATTCGCACCGGAGATCTGTAAAAATTAAAATAAAATTTAGTGCCATAGAAATAGAAATTTTTTTACACTAAATCGAATAAAACTAACACTATTGAATTTAATGTATAATAATGAACTTAAAAACGTTTGTTCGGCATTATTTGACAATTATTTTATAAAAATCTTATGGTAACCATATTTTATAGTAAACACGATTTACCGTAATATATATATATATATATATATATATATATATATATATATATATTACCAAGCAAATGGTTATTACAATGCATAATCTACATAATTCATTAAAATCCACAAATGCCCTAAAATCTAAAGAAATGAACCCCACCCACCACTATACAGACAAGCCACATTATGACGGTGAAGAAGAAGTCAAACGTGACGAATATACTGAAGCTGCGAATATTCGACGTCCGGTTGTTGTAGCGCAAACTCCCGACGAAGTAGTCGTTGACGGTGTCCGGAGTCCTGACACTCTGAGCATAACTGTCCCTTTGGGAATTTATCGAGGTGCCCAGGACGGATTCGGCGGCCGCGCGCAGCTGCCGGTCCTGACCGGCCAGGCGCGTCTGCTCCTCGTAGTCGTACATCATCGCAAACTCAGGACGCCGATCGCGGCCAACTTTACGATGCACGTGATGCACCTTGTCATGAGAGCTGCGAAAAGCTTCCAAGTGAATCCAATTTGTTAAACGATAAATGATTTTCAATCTCGAAAATCGAAAACAGTAGACAACGTTAGGGAATAATAAAAGCTTTTTAACTTTTCTAGATCTTTATTATTTTTCATATATTGTGCATAGTTGATTTTGTATATATAGATACTTTCCTATAAGGTCATCCAATAACTAATTGTAAAATCTTTTATATCTCCCAAGTTCTTAGTGTATATATACTGTTTTCCGTAATAAAAGCGATAACACATTCCCTTTCTTTTACATTATTATGTCTTCAAAGAATATTTTTAACCTAATTCAAAATTATTGATCCATTAGTACTCGTAAGAAATTTCATTTACTGTTTAATGTACAATATATAGACCTATAAAACTATAATTGCTATTATTGATGAAAAGAGTTTAATTGAGCATTTTAATTTTAAAATTTTCATTAATAGAATACACATATCGTCTCTCAATTAGCTGAAATTTTATCTTCTTTTTTTTTATAAAAGATTAAAAAGCAAATTCTTAACCGCTATTAATGATAAAAGTGATTAACGTAAAAAAAAAAGAATTACTCCGTTTATTAAATGTAATAATTAAAAAGAAATATATATATATGTGTATTTTTTTTCTTCAAAGAATTAAATTATATTCAAATAATTTCACTTGCATAAATTAGGATACTTATAACACGTCATTAAATTCTTTATTAATCTTTACGATCACGAAACTTTAATCGTAAATAAATTGGTATTCGTTTCGTAATATAGATCGTTTATATTTTTATGAGTTCGCATTCATGAATATCGAATTAATCGTACATATTGAATCAATCTTACATATAATAATAATTTATTGAAAATTCTTTCGTAATTCAAATTATTGCACTTGATGAATAAATATTGAAAATAATAAGATCTGCTAAACTATTGATTCGAGATTTATATAATATTATTAGTTAATTAGGTTAGAAAAATCTTGTTTTAATTTTAGCTTCTGTTAAAATCGAAAATCCATTTAAAATTTACTAAAAAAAAAAAAAAAAAAAAAAAAAAAAAAAAAAAAAAAAAAAAAAACAATATGTTTTCATATAAATTGTCACGTTATCTATTAGATTTTTATAACCGAAAGTACCTCTGTAAGTGTGTTACAATTGAAAAATTACTGATATAAAAACAACAGAGTAAATTTTGCAAACGTATCTGTTAAAACTAATTATTTTTATTTCGCTTTAATGATCTTATAAAAGGTATATGATATGATAAAGATCTCATAAGATCTTTTATACGGAAGCTAATGAAATTATGTACTTTCAATCGACATAATTACCATCTCATGTATTATGCATACACCGAATCAATGCAAATAACAAATTTTATTAATATAATATAATAGATTCGGTTAATTGTATAAATAATAATTGCTCATATTGAAGATAGACTAATGTAATCATGCATTCCAACTCGAGTACAATTAAATAAAACATTTTCTATTTTTAAGTAGGCATATCCTTATTTTTTCTACATACGTGTGACGTTAATTATTGAGGGACAGTCAGGTATGCGCTGTCCATATCACTGATAATATCGAAATTTTAGTCGACTTAACTAATCGGTACTCGGTATAAAAAATGTGAGATATTAATGGGGTACCGTTAGAAAACAACTGAATCTATTATCTGATAATTAAAATATAAAAACCTTCGTACTGTAATTATATATTATAATTAAAATAGATGTTTTTATTTTAGATTTTTATAATTTGTAAGACTATAGAGGAGGTCATTGCACAGACTAAGCGAAGAAGTTTCGACATTATTTACGAAATTATTAGTAAAAAAGTTAATGTTGCGAACATGTTTATAAATTTATAGGATAAAATTCATGATAAGTAAAAGTATAAATGTTTTATGTAACTTAATAGAAACAATCTATATTTAATTCGTTTCGTGTTTTGATAGGAAAGCAAACACCTACAGATTATGCTATCAAATTGTCCGAGTATATTAGTATCGTTCTTTAGTAAATTCCATATACGACTCGATGAAATCAATGCTTTTGTTGCACAAAAATTGTTTGTATCTTACTTTGTTGTCTACATGCAATAGATCTACCTATAATTATATACAAGGCAAATTGTTATTAAAGCCGCGTATATTTACAATATAAGTAAGTAAAAAGGCAATTTCTTTGTTTTTCTCAGTACTTTAGTGGAATGAGTTTTATTGCGCAATAATTAATTAATCAATATTATTAATCGATATAATTCTAAGAGTAGAAAATGATAAAAGAATAAAACATTATGGTTGGACTGGATGTTTAATACAGTTAATATTATTTATTATGCATATATGTGTCAATTGTTATCTGAAATTTTCTTTATTTTATGTAAATCCTTGAGAAACGTTTAAAAAGAAAAGAAAAAGAAGAAGAAAAAAAATTAATAAACTCGAATGAACGCGCAGAGCTATAGTTCGATAATATTGAAAATTGCTGATTTGCGAAATAAAAAATAAGACAAATTGAAGGCAACTATAGTAGGATGTGTAACAGTAGCGTCACACATAACCTTAAATCCCTATGTGGATACGAAAAGGCCATTGAACAGCATAAAAGAATTTTTCAAACTAAGCTCTAAATCCCCAATCATATCCCCAATCACCTATCAATCTATCTGCAAATTATAAAAGAAAAAAATTTCTTACTTTGTTGTTGGAGAAATTTAATATCCTGAAATTACATTGTTCACGGTACAACTATTCAAAAACTATGTCGTACTATTTTCACAAAATTCGCGAAATTCAACAACGGGCGATCTCTCGCATTCATTTTTCGATAAACAACGCAATGATTCCAAATCACTTTTGCACGCTATGTCACTCGAATAATCATAAACGACTATCTACGCGCTCGATAGTACAGCAGGTCACCTTTTTAATTGTACAAGCAGCCCAACATTATTTCTTCAATGTTATTTGGTTTACGAACGTTCCGAGTCAGCATGTGTTGGTGGTCGTGGCGCCATCTTTGCCTTGCTCCTGTATTACAACGTTTGCGCGTGTCTGTCGTGCGTTGTGTCCGTTGCGCGTTGTATGCAGCGCGTTGTAAGGTCATCAAATATGAGAAGCCGATGAAAGCGGCATGAGTTAATATGATATTTTGAGTTAGATTATCATTTGTTTTAAAATGGCTGTTTTCTCCGTAACGTCGAGATACGAATACATACGATATACATGCATGTGTCACCACTAACAACAACAACAACAACAACAACAACAACAACAACAACAACAACAACAACAACAACAACAACAACAACAACAACAACAACAACAACAACAACAACAACAACAACAACAACAACAACAACAACAACAACAACAACAACAACAACAACAACAACAACAACAACAACAACAACAACAACAACAACAACAACAACAACAACAACAACAACAACAACAACAACAACAACAACAACAACAACAACAACAACAACAACAACAACAACAACAACAACAACAACAACAACAACAACAACAACAACAACAACAACAACAACAACAACAACAACAACAACAACAACAACAACAACAACAACAACAACAACAACAACAACAACAACAACAACAACAACAACAACAACAACAACAACAACAACAACAACAACAACAACAACAACAACAACAACAACAACAACAACAACAACAACAACAACAACAACAACAACAACAACAACAACAACAACAACAACAACAACAACAACAGCAACAACAACAACGGGAATAATGATAATAAATTAGTTTCTGAGATCACAGTGTCTTTTTATCAAATATTTTGATTATGGAATGATTAAGGAATTAAATTTTCCTTATGAATAGATATTAAAATATACTTATACTTTTCATTCGTTACTCGTTCGATGTCTTAGCTCTCTTAATCATTATTCTCATATAAAGAAATAGCGAATTCAAATTACAAACTTCCTTTACATTGATTCAATATTATTTGATATTGATTTTATTTTTATAGTTATTATAGTTCACAATGATTGACAAGTATGGTTTCGAGTATGCTCCATTTGAGCACGATAAATGTTCCTTTATAAACATTCATTATTTATTGCAAAATCATGATATTTCGTAGAACTAAAATATTTCTATTCTAGCTTTGAAATGCTGGAATTCCTGTAATTGCTCGTCCCAAAATAAGCGCATGTATGTCATGCGTACCTGTTAAAAACAAAAACAAAAACAAAAACAAAAACAAACAAAAAAAAACAAAAAAAAAAACAAAAAAAATATATAATCCCATTAGAACAATCTTAATTTTTAATATTAATCGAGGATATTTTTCTTTACCTTCGTACGTATTAACAGACTCGAGATTCATTACATGTCTAATTATATGGTACTCATCGGAAATGCCGTTTCCCCCTAGCATATCTCTCGCAGTCCTTGCAATTTCCAATGCTTTTCCAGCAGAGTTACGTTTTATCAAGCATATCATTTCCGGCGTTGCTCTAAATATAAAAAATTATTTCATTGTTTAATCATAGTCGCTCGACTCGGAGAGAACAGTGAAAATTCTATTATACAGGCCCTCACTTGTTTTCATCCTTTAATCGTCCAACTTGCAAACAAGCCTGTAAACCTATCGAGATCTCGGTCATCATGTCAGCCATTTTTTTTTGTATTATCTGATTAGCGGCTAAAGGCCGGCTAAATTGCTTCCTTTCGAGCACATAAGTTCTCGCCAATTTTAAGCACATCTCGGCGGCGCCCAAAGCACCCCAACTAATGCCGTAACGCGCATTATTCAAGCAAGCGAAGGGTCCCTTTTGTACGACATGAAAATTTGTAATTCTTTGTAAGGCGTGGGAATTTTACATGACAATCCATACCTTCAATCCTTTAACATTAGGCAATAAATTTTCTTCCGGTACGATAACATCATCCATCAAAATCATACCCGTTACGGATACTCGCAATGAGAATTTCCCTTCGATTTTCGGTGTGAATAGTTTCTTCTCGTTATTTTTCCTTTCAACGATGAAGCCACGAATCTCATCGTCCTCCTCGCATTTCGCCCACACCACCAGTACGTCCGCTATCGGAGAGCTCGTGATCCTGCGCATTATTAGCCCTTAAATCCATCCAACTTCATACTCCTTTATAAGATTGCAATCGAGTGGAAAATTTATTAATTGTAGATGATAAATGACATACATGCAGTACTAACCATGTCTTGCTACCATTAAGTCTGTAGACTTTCTTAGATGGATCGAATTTAGCGCGCGTCTCCATGGACGCTGGGTCACTGCCATGGTTAGGCTCTGTCAGTCCGAAACATCCAATGAGATTTCCAGATACTGCGTTTCAGAATGATTTTCATATTGATTGTATGGAATTGGGCAGTCATAATAATAATTTCTCGATAAAAAAGATAAAGCTGAATATCATACTCAATTGAGGTAAGAAACGCTCTTTCTGAGCGTCACTCCCGTATGCATCGATTGCCCCGATAACGAGTGACGACTGGACAGAGAACATTGATCGATATCCACTATCGATGGCTTCGATTTCCTTGGCCAGAAGGCCATACGCCACCGACGAAATGCCCGCAGCTCCGTAGCCCTTGGTCGTACACCCAAGAACTCCCATCTCCCCAAGTTCCTTGATGATCGCGCTGTCGATGGTCTCCGAGCGATTAGCGTTGATTACCCGTGGCAGCAGTTTCTCTTCGCAGTAATTGCGAAACTGGTCTCTGATTAGGACCTCGTCGGACGTCAATCGACACTCTAAATTCAGAGCATCTTCCCAGTTGAAGGCGCCTAGTGCGAGTGTTGGATTAGAAGTTGGCGTTGATTATTTTTATCGGTAGTTTGTGGCGTGTCTGTGGTCTTGATAATTCTTTGCGTTAAAATAATGTTGATGTTTAGTGAACGTCGCGGAGTACCTTATCACGTCAGTCCAAGAGGGTGTACTGCTTGGGGAAAGTTTTAGGCATGTTGGATGGAAGTGTTCGATTAATGTTTATAAATGTAAATTTCTGAGCGTATAAATTACGTAAAAAAAATGTTGTCGCGTAAATTAGTGAAACTGCAGGTGTGAATTTTAACGAATTAATTATGAAAATTTTCATTGCAAATTAATATCGGCAATGATAAATCACGAGAGTGGAAAATTTCTTTATCGGTTGAGCTGATATTTATGGTTACGTTAAAAAAATATATGCAGTGCGCATAGATAAAGAAGATTTCAATGTTACAGCTGTTTACAAGTAGATTATTTATTCTGTTTAATTATTATGTTGATAGCGATACGGCAAAGCCTTAAAATTAACTTACATTTTTGTTGGAGACTCGATGCTATTGAGAGCTCTAATTAAATATTGAAATCACTTCATTAAGGCCAAATATGCACATAATCATAAAGTTTATTATTAACACAAACGTTTGATTTCGATATAAATTTGTCATTTCATAATGATTACATGCAAGCATAAGAATTTCAACATAAACTGCATAAATTAATTATTTTATTTACGAAATACTTGCTCGGTTTCATTTTTCTTTTTTTCCTTTTTTTTTTATTTTTTTTTGTAATCTAAAAGAGAGAGAAAGAAAATGAAAGGATACGCCTCGATGAACATAAGAATGACGCGCTATAGATCTCCGAGATTAATTTTTGAATTCGTATGGCCATATTTACACAGGTAGAGAACTGACTTATCGTTCGATACACTTTATTTAATCGATGACAGTTACGTTTCCAGAGGCAAACTGATACTAAATTGTGCCAACGAGTGCCGAAGCTACGTAACAACGTCATGTGATCTTAATTTGCGTTCTCCGTTTCACAGAGTTACGAAAGATATGCAAGATTTAATATCGCGGTAATTTTAAAAGCTTAGCTCTTGTATAAACGCACGCAACAAACATAAAGTGATAATAATAAAAATAATAAACATTTGTATTGAGCAAACTAATGAGATATGCTAGGCAATCAATTTTTCTAACTTTATAAAGTCGTTGGACAATTTGTCAGGATTCACGGGATAATCTACATTTGATTAATCAGTGTGTGCAGTAAATTTTCGTTTGATTGCGAATTCTTAATCCTTTCGCGTAATGTTGAAATTAAAAGAAATTAAAAGAAATTAAAATTTTTAATGCCACAAAGTGTCGAGCACTCAAAATAAAAGAACAATCAACTACTAATCAAAATCTGTAAATATGCTTTCTTTATTCGTCCTTTTAATAATGAAATAATTCAATAATTTGAACGCATTGGCTCTATGCATATTATCACAATAATACATAATTAACAATAATTATATGAGTGAGTGGGCAGTTCGCAACAATAGTGTATGGATAGATGAGAAATCGAAAAGATCCGTTGAATGGAGGTTTCAGTTTGTTATTTTTGGGATTCATATAAATGTCAGTTTTAAACAATATGAATGTCGTCCTTGCGTTCCTGGGCGTCGGGCGGCTTTTGGCTGAAGACGCGAACGTTATGAAAGAAATATCCGAGAGCCTCGGTGAAGGGTAGGACGACAGACTGCACGAGCACTGTCCAGAAGTTCCTAAAGCTCGAGCACGTGATTCGCCAGACACGCAAACACGGAACGATACACCAGACGTGCTGAAAAATTCATGACTCGTTAATTTTCTTTTGTTATGTTATATTCCACCGCGTCGCATAGTAATGCTCGATATTGTAATTTCCATTAATCCATTTGAAAGTTCGATGAATGCAGAGGGACTGGTAAATAAATGTCTATTTGACACCTAGATAATAACGTTTTTCGCGATACCCAATTGCACAATAATTTCGCCGACAATTGCGACTTCTTTGTGAATAAGACATTTTTTCAATGTTTGATCGATACGACATTTCTTTACATATAATTGTAAACAAATCGAGAAATTTCGACGATTCATACTTTATTTATGTTAATATAAATTTAATAAGTCAATGAAATTGTTATTATCGAGGCAAGAAATAATCTATACGCGCAAGTATATTAATGACAAGTTTAATCACAAAATACGACGATATTTATTTGTTATTTGTAATTACACTATATGATAGCATATATTATTTAATAGTGATAAGTTTTAGCGATAATCTTATAGCTTCTCTGAAATAACAAAATTTTATATCGTATCAGTGAGTAGGTAGAAGAACTTTTTTTTTATTTCTATTATTATATATTTCTCATATTTGTCACAATTTGATATTTCTTATAAAAACTAAATTAAAAAATTACTTTAACATTTTTTCGAATTCTTTTATTCTTGTAGAAAAGATTCCTATTGCAATCTTTTCTCTCATCAATACTAAACGCGTGATATATAATAAAATTAATTTTTGATAATTAAATATTCATTGGTTCATCGGAGGCAAAGCGTAAATTAATTAATTTTATACAAGTTTCACTGCAATTGTGCCATTATTACATTACATTCCAAAGGTCTTATTATTATTAATAATTATATGTAGAAATTATTTTAATTAATTCAATAATAATTTTTCATAGATTTTCAACGTAGGATAAAGCTATTCTTATTACTTAGATAATGTGCGATTCGTTCGCTACAAAATCATTGGATTATCGATTGACGGTTAAACGAATATTTCTTCATCATAGATAATGAATCACGCCTCGCACATATTTCACCGAAGACACATTTTTCATTATCCAACGATCTTTTAAAAGCTGATCTCTTAATGCATTGGAAATCATAATTAATATAAACTACCATAAACTTCCATACAATTATAAAGATCGATTTATTAGAATAAAACACGTCATTAAATTAATACACGTATTCACATTTAAATGGACGATCCATTAATTGATCAATGCACCGATTAAGAGAATCAAAGGATTGCTCTGAATCACCATTATATATATATATATATATATATATATATTTAATTTGAGCGTAACAATAGTGGCATCGATTTAAGCTGCGCATTGTTGTACAACAAAAAACTCTTTAAAGCCATAAAGTGTTGAAACTCGTAACTTTCGTGTCTACTTAAAAAGTGCTTTAGTCTCTTTCCATAATATATCATGCTCTCGGTGCAACTTATCAGATATTTAAGTACAACAAGCCAAGTGCAATAAAAGAAGAGGCTTGGGTCGTCGAGCCTTAGGGGCTCGTAATTCGCGCGACACGAGCAGTGCCACGGAGTTGCCGCATGACGAACGCAAACGCTACCGAAGAATCGTAGGCGGAGGCATGTCGCGTCGTTAAAACGCCAGGCGTTAAATTCAAATACGCTGCTGCCCGTTTTTATCGATTTGCCACGGCGTGGCTGGCTATGAGAGCGCAATAATACAAGGCTAGAGGGCGACTAACCTCGAAGGCCAAGCAGGCGAAGGTGAGGCCGAGGCAGAGGGCGAGCAGAGGTGCGATCAGCACCGTGAGCAGGACGTAGCAGCAACCCTTGGACAGACGGAAGCAATGGCGACTTAATCGCCAGGCGCACTCGGGGCTGCGGACGCCTTCCGGTTCGCCGATCACCTCCTCCCAGAATACCTACGCATGTGCTGATACGTTTAGTCGAGTCGAGTTAACGAACGAAATACAGTCCATCGACATACTGATTAAATGATCGATTTAGTATATAAAACCTCGCGCCTCTTCTACGCGAATCTGCATAATCATACTGGAAATCCATTAGATTCGATCGGCATATTTATCTTACGCGCTGAGAGTTTTTCAGTCCGGAAAGCAATTTTGGAAAACAGTTAGTTTGTTTACTCACTGCTCTCTAGTATCTCTATTAAACGTTAAGCACAAGAAAAGAAAAAATTTCTTTTTCGCCCGGGAATTTTTCAAGTAGTCCAAGATAATATTATTATTATGAGGAACAACCGCACTCACTATTAACAAAAGTAGTATTTTTCTTTCGTACAGGATGTTGTTCGGATCGCCAATTTCGCTTATAATAATACTTATCGGGAGGATAAATTCGGACAATTCGGCCGTGAAATTTCTTCATTAAACCATTATTACTTGTTGTATTGCGGATATTAAAATCAAATCACCCTTTTGGGACAATAAAAATTATCGCTTTCGCACGACACGGCCAATAGAATAAATATCATTTATCATGCATTAGGAATATAGTTGGCGGCATTTGTCCCGTTTCTTTTCAACGGCTCCATTAAATCGTTCGTCCTTTTAAATCGCTTGTGAAAAAGGACATTGTATCATAACACCCGAAAGCTTTGCGGAAAAAAATTAAAAATGATTTTTGCCCCGTTTGACGCTTGAATACAGCGTGGAGCTGCATATTTTACATTACTTTATTGATTAAGGAAAACTTGAGTTTGGGTGTGAGCCGTCGAGCATTAGAGTAATATTTATTTGGTCGCATTACCTCACGGGAAATTCTACTTTTAAAATGTTTATAATGAATAGTATTTGTAAAGTTAATTTAGTAAATTGATTTTAGCTGAACATGCACTTTAACGAGGTATTTGTGATTAAATATAATTATGTAAAATTTAATTCTTACAACAATGTTTAAGAATATTTAAATCCACGGAGCGGTAATAATGTTTGAGCTAATGTAAAAAGGACGTTTGTAAAAATAATGAAAAATCCACTGGTTTCGTATATTCGTAATTTGCAGATAGTTTTTGGTATACATATTTTTATGCGACAAATTGCATATGCAGATGTACTTTGTAAGTTAAAAAATAATAAAACTAAGACGTGTCACGTCTGTTTTTATCATTAAATTGTTTTTAAGTTTTAAATTAATATGAAAAACCTATCTGTGGACAATTACTTATAATAATATTTTGCATTGGGAGTTAGATTTTGGATATTTATAGATAACGATCCAATGAGCATTAACGCGCCAAAACATAAAGAATCAATAATGTTGTGTGCTCGCGTGTGTGTGCGCGCGCGCGCATGTGAATGTACATATTACTAGATTATCACAAGATTTACTTTTGGTTTATATTTTACATAGACAAAAAATAATGCATTATAATTCGATTTAATATCGGTAAATTATTATTATAAACTCGCACACTTTAGTAATTTCCTACTTTTTGATATAGATTTTCAAAAATATACTACTTATTTTATCTTTAACTTAAAAATTATAAACACTTTTACAAAAATTAAATACAATTATGTATTAATATATAAATATATATATGCATATGTATGTATGCGCGTATGTATGTATGTATAATTTAAAAAGTAATCTCAATATTATATGACAAATATTTTTAAGCCATTTTAAATTATGGATAAATTTTGGAATGTTACTTAAGCACATGAGAATTATTAATAATATACAATAAAAACTAATTGGAATAATATATACTTAATTTTTATCAACCACATTTTGAAGAAATTATTTTTTTATTTAAATTTATTCATGCATTTTCTAGTCAAAATTGAATAAACTTTAGTGGGTTATTCTACAATTATACGAAGAACTACTTTTCACTTATTTCAAATTATTTATTGCAGCAAATAAAATTAAAATCAGCATGTGTATGTACTTTAATCGAAAACCTAAAACATTAGTATTAAATAGATAATAATTTATTTAGTCCTGAATTATTCATGTGATACCTTTAAGAACTTAAGCATGATTTTTTCTTCTGGACAAATGATAGATTCCAGAATTTAGTGATTAAAAAGTTAGCGCTTTATATTAGTAAAAATAGATAAATCATTAATTATACATTATGAGGATTCTTTGAATGCATGAATTTAAAATTATTTACAAAATTTTTGTTTCAATATATATGCATATATACAACTAGAATTGCATTTTGAATTTTATGTCTGAAGAAAAGATTAATGTGATAAGTACTAAATACAATTTATAAAATTAATAATAAACATATGACAAATTTCAATGATACTTATATCATCGGTTTTTCTAATCTACTTTAATAACTTTTACATGAACAATCGAAAAATTATTATATCATAAATAATATTTAATATTTTTAATATAAATTTTATTTACTAAAGAAATAGAAAAAAAGATTAAATTTACATTTTATTTAAGGACGAATCCGAATATATTTAATCTATCTATCTTACCTGCACATATCTGTATCTGTCACGCGATTTTTCAATAAAGATTTAATCAGTTTTCTGTACAGATTGTCCATTTATAGTTACAATATTTATTTGTACATTTTGTAATTATATAATTATTTGAATAATTATAGGTTATTTTGTGTGCGCGTGTGTGCGCGTGCGTATTCGTAACTAAATGCACACAACTGAAACTTACTATATAATTTATAGAAAATTACTAAACAACTGAACGGAGGATAATTATAATTTACAGACCTGTATATGTCGATTTAAACGATTAGGATCCCTGTCCTCGAGATCAATGTTACTATCATCTTCCATCGAAGACGTGGGTTTTTCCATCCCTGAAACCGTAAAATTCTGTCGTATCATCCGGCAAAGAAATAACGTTTTTATCCATGGTACCATACTTTCTCGAATAAAAATGTAAAACAATACTTTAAACGGACTTTTACAGTCGACTATACTTATTCTTGATGGTATTCCCAAACATCTACTTGAATATCCACAATCACATTTTTCCACGTATTTTGAAATTGACAAAAAGGATAGCGTACATATGGAAATTGACGTAATGCCATATAATTAAAGGCTTAATTACGATAGGTCGCTCATTTTTTATAACCTAATTGCCACTCGAGTCTCTGAATTATTAAATTTGTTAAGATAATAAGAGTACGACTTGTTAGAACTGCTGCAATGCTATAAGCGACTGCGGTTTCTGCGCTTCGTACGTCAAATAGTACGTGATATATTTGATCGCGAGTCTCATTGATTCAGAGAAATAAATTAAAAATGAGATCTATTTCAATGTCAAGCTCTATATTTCTTTTCTATTGTATTTCCATTCTTCGATTATGTCTCATTTAATAAGTTGATAATTACGCTTATGACTGCCTTAAGACCTTTGCTTAAATTATCGGTAAAAGTTGAGCAAACTTTGTAATTCTTGACATATTTAAATAGTCTTACTTTTATTCAGACATCATATCAATAAACTAACAATACAGTATAAACAAATTAATTACAGTAACAATGATTGATACTCTTGCTCTTATGCAATTGGTAATTCATTACAATAAGTCGTCAGATTGAATTTGCACTCTCAATTTTACATTACATTAATCACCAAATCACTAAAATTCTCGTATAAACGTTTTAAAAGCCACGTCGACGAACAGGGAACGTCACTTAATAAAGCATCTTCGTCCTTGAAAAAGCGATATCGTGCACTTACCTCGCTTTGGAGAGACGGATATTTTCGGATTAATTTTCGCTATTTTAAACGATAACTGTCAAGCGATGGAGAAGTTAACTTATCATGTAAACTAGAATTGAAAGGGTGACGGCGTCGAATGTGGGAAACGTAATTTCCTAGAGGGCCATAGAGGGCGTAGAACCGGCGCTAGTATAACTGAAAAAAGAGTGGTGGTACTTAATGAGGAGACCTTTGTGCTTGAACTCCTATAGGAGACGGAGAGCGCGCAAAGTCGATTTTCCTCCCGCGCCGGGAAATGGTCGCGACCGCAAGTGGACATCGGTCATCGCGACTGCGCATTGCCCTGTAAAAAGTAAGGGATACCCTCCTTCCCACATCCTACCTCTGCAACTCCAGTTCACGATTCCTCCCACCGCCATTTCCGGCCGCCACCCGAACCCCCCGAACACACATCGGCACAACAGGTACCCCTTTCAAGGGTCGGGGTTCCGCGCGCATCACAGGCGCTGATAATTCTTTTTGTTATTTTTTTTCCTTGTGGATTGGATTACGATTAACGCCAAGGATATTAATTACGGAGTTTGAGATGTTTCATATCGTTATATTACGGTTAAGCTCATTCTTCCGTGTTGAAAACAGCAATATAAAGGGAATAAAATATTCTCTTACATTAGAAGTAAGATGTATTTGGCAATATTGTATGTAAAAATTCGTTAAAAAAAAAAAAAAAATAAAAATGGTGAAAATGTAATATCTCGACATGACTCTAGTTTTTCTTTATAAACATATAATAATGCAATAAGCATTGGTGATTATCATTCGCGACTACATAATTATCTTTAAAACAATCAATGGTTTAGTGAGACGCTCGCTGCTATTTAATTATAATGAAGATTTATTATAGAAAGTTATTTCGCAGCCTTAAATTTGCTTTAGACATTAGGTATTCTTTGTGCGCTAATTCGCAAAATACGAGAGCATGAACAAAAAATTTAGACAAAATAAAAGTAAATTTTATTTGTAAACTTATGCATATCAGAAATCAATTACAGTTAATTCACACTTTTAAAATGATTTTGAGACAAAATTTTTTATGCACGACATGGTATGTATGTGTAGATGCACACGCAGGTAAATGTATCGTCGTTAATTAGACGTGTAGTTATTAGTTGAAAATAGCACAATTACTTTCCTGGTTAGGTATAAATTGTAAAATTTGTATTTGTGAAAATAAGATAATTAAGTTCGAAAAAATAAATTGATAACTTATTTATTTCGATTACTTGCATCTAGCGATAAATGCTGCTTAAAATTGACAGATAATTTTGATTATAACTTTATTAGTTATTCAATTCAAGCTGTTTATCATCGTTTGAATAGTATACGAATAATATATGAAATGTTTTATATAGAAAAATAAAATAATCATCACATGAGATAATTTTTTTTTTTTTTATCGCAATTTAAAGAATAGAATTTTTTGTTTAATTAAGCAACGAATGTGATTCTCAATAAGCTTGGAAATTTGTTTTGAAATATCTGTACATCAGTTAAACCTGTTAGTCTTTATGAAAGGTAATTCTGTTAACACAGTTATTTTAGTCGCTTTGATCCAAGGAAAATTATATTTTCTAAAAATATAGCTATTTATAATAATAGCAATTGCCTGAATTTCATGATAATAATAATGATGAAACAAATGAAAAATTTCTAAAGCTGTGTAAAAATTTTAAAATTATAGCAATTATTAAGAACATAATAAATATTTTAGAATAATTAATTTTATTTAATTTCTTCTTCGTACAAGATGAATATAGGCATGTTAAATGTATGCATGTGTTAGAATAAATTGTAGTTAGGAATAGTAAATAACTTTCCCCTCTCTTCAACTAATATCTTAGTTGGCCATATTAGTTTGATATTAATTTAATCGCAGATCTTCCAGCAATTTTTTAAAAAATTATATCTCTCGAGAAAAGAATCTCTTCGCTTTAAATAATATTGTTTTAATTAAGAGTAAAATTTCATTAGTTATTTAATGTTAGATTTACCAATAATGCAAATTATACATTACGTATACAATGCATACGTTTATATATTTATAAATAATATTATTTGTAATGGGACGAATAATAACAGAGAGAGAGAGAGAGAGAGAGAGAGAGAGAGAGAGAGATTGCTGTGATTATGTTAAAGAGATGGATGCTTATTTAAAATTCAAAATAAAAATTTAATTTCATCAAAATCAAAACTACAATTTAATCAAGAGTTCGAAATTTTCATATTAAAAGTATATACTGCAAATATAATAGTTAAAAAATAGTTACGAAAAGATAAATAAAACTTATAAAAAATAATATACTTATTAGTATACTTATAAGATAAACGATAATAAATGAAAAAATATAAAACACAACTGTTTTATTTGATAAATTTAAATTAAGTTTGATCATTATTGTAATCGAAATGTAATATATTAATATTATATAATTGTATAAAGTAAAACATGGAATTCTTATTGAATAAGTGAGGTATTATATTATTTTACTATATCCTCAATAATAAGAGGAACAAAATTTATTTATTGTGCATATAAACCTAATAGATTTGACTGTTTCTTTTAATTATTAAATAGTATTGTAATAAGAACAGAAGTAATTTCGACAATATTTAAGATCATTGTACGCAATTATTATTGACTTTTTACTTTTTACTTAAACAAGTAGTTAAGAATTTATTCAATCTAGCATTATTTTGAAACATGTAGTGAGAAATATTTATGTGTATTATCTCAAAATTATTTCTTTTTTTACTGAAAATTGAATTAAAATGATTAATTGTCGAAGATAATGTTAAAAATACATTTTTCTAAAAAATAAAACAAATCTAAAAATAAAACATACGTTGCATAAATTAACAATATTATAAATTACCATTTTCTGTTTTATAAATGAATATTCATGAAATTTTTATATATGCTTTCTATTTTAATTTATCATGTTTTTATAGGTAAATTTAAGTAAGGAAAATTTTATTTTTTTATTGTGCAGTAGAAACGTTTTAAAACGTTTTACGCCCTGGAAAACATTCTAATTTATCCTCTTTAAATCATAATGATACCATTTTGTAAATAAAATTTGTTAGGAATAATTTGATTGTTCCATGGTAATGTTATAAATATAATAAACCATAAGGATTATTTTTATATTCATTCGTAGACTCTCTCTCTCTCTCTCTCTCTCTCTCTCTCTCTCTCTCTCTTTCTGTCTCTACACATAAATATCATTGATTTAATATATTTATTTATGTTATTTATCATGTTCATTTAATCGCATAACTTTAACAGACTGACATAAATGTTTCTTATTTAATAACAATCGATACAACAGAAAAAAAAATGCAACTACTTGGTTCGGTGTATACTTGGCAGATGGCACCACAATGAATTCTAACGCGTGACAAACATAGAATATTTTATATTGTGTTACTTGGTATGAACGTGTGGAGAGATTCATTTTTATTTTTTTTTTTATATTTTTATATAAATTTATATAAATATAAATAAAAATATTTTTATATATTTATATAACACTATTTTTCTCTTAACAGTGTTGAAGGAAAAACTTTCTGTTTTTCTCGTACTATTATTGCTTATATAGAGAGACATAAGAATAAATGAACTTACTTTTATAATTTACGTTTATAATTAAATCTTGAGTAATTTTTATTATAATTATTGTAGAATTTGTGCTCGTTTAATATATCTTGAAAATAAATGAAAGTTCAATGTAGTGTTTAAGAATAAAATTCATCCTAATTAGTTTTATCGATAAGACTTGCATATATCAATGAAACATTTTTTCTAAACGTAATTTATCACAATGCAATTATTATTTTTTTTCCAATTGCATTTGAGTGTTGTTTTATAAATGAGAAAAAAATCTCTGAATTATGAGGTGCATTTTTTACTAGTCATTGTTCTGTCGATACATATGTGTGTGCGTGTGTGTGTGTGTGCGCGTGCGCGCGTGTGTGTGTGAGCGCTTGTGAGTATGTATATTGAATATATTTTATAATATTTCAATATTCAATATATTGAAATAAATCAGAAATAAATGGCATAACTCATGAATATTTAAAGGTTCGCGTATTCGATGATATGGTGTTGCCACATTGGCGAATTGCACAGTAATTTTTCATAAAAAGGCAAATATCGCACGCAACAGCACAATAAACAAAATTTATAATCTAAGTAATAATTTAGGAAACGTCATAGTAATTGCTCGCGATGTTTTCATTCTTTTGAATTGCCGTTATTATTTATAGCCAGAACATTGACAACAAATTTGAAACAATGTGAACTTATTCCGAATACTATTGAGCTGAATACGTTTAACGTTGAGAGGTCGATTAGAATCAAATCCATATTTAGTATAAAAGCATTCCGTAAGTAAATTCATTAGAGTACGCGTAATACATTCTCTCGTGTACACTTAAGTTTGTCGTTTCTGCATCCGTAATCATTTGTTATATCGGTCGAGTGGCGAGTTACACAAATAAGACACGCACACTTCTAGATGTCGGATGCGAATTTTATGGGCTCGAGCAGATTTACATCGTCTATATACCACTAGCTAGGCGCGTATATATATATCCAACAATTGTGAATAATTTTATGCGAGAATCGATGATTATGTTATTAACTGATATAGTATCTGACTATTTTATCTTAGCCTTGGCCGAACTCTGGCCTTACATCATAGGTAATTTATTCGACATTTCGAATTAACGATTTTATAATGGATTATGAAAAATCAGTGATTAGTCATTACATATTACCTAGCGATATATGTACGTTAAGATAATTAAAGCAAAGAAAAAAATATTCTTTTACTTAATCGCTCGGTTGCTCTATGTATGTTTGCCTTTTCTTTCAGCCTCATCGGCTCACGAATACATTCACAGGAATAAAGATAAATTGGCCTTGTTCGCGCTATCTTATTCGTAGGTAAACGTCTATAAATGTACTCATTAATTACGTAATTTTCGATGCCTTTCTTTTTTTAACTCCTGGTAACGTGTTGATTTTTCGTG